GTTCCTTTAACATTTCATATAATAATGGTTTGGTGATGATGAACCCCTTTAGGTTTTTCTTGTCTAGAAATCACTTTAACTGCCCATCAATTCTAAATGATAGCTCTGATGGGTAGAATAATCTTGGTTGTAAGTCCTTGCTTTTCAACACTTTGAATATTTCTTGCCAATCTCTTCTAGCCTGTAAAGTTTCTCTTGAGAAATCAGCTGATGGTCTTACAGGAACTCCCTGTAGGTAAGTAACTGCTTTTCTCTTGTTGCTTTTAAGATTTTCTCCTTATCTTTAACCTTTGGAACTTTTATTATGTTGTGTCTTGGAGTGGGCCACTTTGCATCTATTTTGCATGGGATGCTCTGTGCTTCCTGGACTTGCATATCTATTTTCTTCATCAAATTAGGGAAGTTTTCTTTCATTATTTTTTCAAATAGATTTCTGATGTCTTGCTCTTCGTCTTATTCTTCTGACACCCCTGTGATGCCAATATTGGAATCCTTGAAGTTGTCCCAGAGGCTGCTTATACTATCCTCATTTTTTTGGATTATTTTTTGTGTGTGGTCCTGATCAGTTGTTTTTTGTTTCCTTATGTTCCAAATCATTGATTTGATTCATGGCTTCATCCACTCTGCTGTTGTTTCCCTGTAAATTTTTCTTTATTTCAATTAGTATATCCTTTGTTTCTGACTGGATCATTTTTTATGCTGTCCAGGTGTTCACTAAGTTCCTTGAGTATTTTTATAACCAGTGTTTTGATCTCTGCATATGGTAGGTTGCTTATCTCCCTTTTAGCTCTTTCTCTAGAGTTTTTATGTGTTCTTTTATTCGGGCCATGTTTCTTTGTCTCCTTTTTTGGCAGCCTCCCTTTGTTCTATGTATTAGGTAGAGCTTTGACTCTGTGTCATGGTAGCTTAGCCTAATACAGTAGGTGTCCTGTAGGGTCCAGTGGCACAGCCTCCCCTATAAGCTGGGTACTTGAGGTGTGCCCTTTGGCCCTTTGTGAGGGCTCAGTACACCCTCCTCTTGTAGTTGAGCCTTGGTTGCTGTTGGCAGATCAATGGGAGGGACTTACCTAGGCCAGTCAACTGCAAGGTCTGGCTGTGAGCCTGATCACCAACTTCCGTCCTCTGTGGAGGATCAGCTGTGCAGGGTCAGGGTGGTGGTGGTCTGACATGGTATGTAGCTGTCCACTGGGTATGTTGGTCCTGAGGTTTCCCAGGTGGTGCTTGCCAAGGTCAGCCCCCATCTGTGTTTTTCTAGGGCCAACCTGCCTGAGGTATGAATCAATCTGAGAAGGCTGCTACTTGTGCTGGGCTTGGAGATTCTCAGGCAAAGCAAGCTTTGAATTTAGGCTGTCTGCTATTGCCAGGACTGGGGCTCACTGAGGCCTGCTGTTGCTTGTTTGAAAGGATTTAGGAAATTGTGAAGCATGAGCTGAGACCAGCAATTCATACAGAAAAGCAGTGTGGGTGGGCCTATAAGTTGTTAGGGCGGAGTCTCTGGGGATCTCCAAGGCAGGTTAAACAGTGTTAGCCAGGTTGATGGAGTCTCAGATGTGGCACTAGTCTGCTGGCTCTGTTCAGGGAGGCTGTAGAAAAGGAACAATGGTCTCTGCTCATTTTGATGCCAGACACCTCAGTTCTTCCCTTTATGCCACTGGTACTTTTCCAGCTGCTAACCCAGTGCTAGAGCTCAGAGGGAGTGAGTCTGTATAAGTTCGTGTATGGGTTCTTTCAGAGGAACTTCATGGGGCTTCAGAAGTTTCTTCCATTGTGTATATGTACCACAATTTTTTTATCCATTCATTTACTGATGGGCACCTAGGTTGCTTCCAACTCTTGGCTATTGTAAATTGTGCTGCTATGAACATTGTGGTGCATAGGTTCTTTGATATTGATGTTTTAGGATTCTTAGGATATAATCCTAGCAGTGGAATTGCTGGATCAAAAGGCAGGTTGATTTTTATTTTTCTGAGAAAATTCCATACTGTTTTCCATAATGGTTGTACCAGTCTGCAATCCCACAAACAGTGAACTAAGGACCCCTTTTCCCCACAATCTCTCCAACATTTGTTGTTTGTTGCTTTGTTTATGATAGCTATCCTGACCGGTGTAAAGTGGTATCTCATGGTGGTTTTAATTTGCATCTCTCTGATAGCTAATGATATTGAGCATCTCTTCATGTGTCTCTGGATGTTCTGTATGTCCTCCTTGGAGAAGTGTCTGTTCAAGTCCTTTTCCCATTTTTTAATTGGGTTGGGTGTCTTCTTACAGTGGAGTCATGTAAGTTCTTTGTATATTTTGGAGATTAAACCTTTGTCTGAGGTATCATTGGCAAATATGTTTTCCCACACAGTTGGTTGTCTTTTTAATTTAATACTGTTTTCTTTAGCCACGCAGAAGCTTTTTATTTTGATGAGATCCCATTTGTTTATTCTTTCCTTTATATTCCTTGCTCTAGGGGATCTATGCAGCAGAGAGAAAGAAGGAGCTACTACCCTTTGCAACAACATGGATGGAACTGGAAAGCATTATACTGAGTGAAATAGGCCAGGTGTTGAAAGACAAATACCATATGATCTCACCTTTAACAGCAAGCTAAACAACAAAACAAACAAGCAAACAGAAAAAAAACAAAGACACTGAAATAGAGAACAAGGGGACAGTGACCAGAGGGGAGAGGGAAGGGAAATTAAGGGGAAAAAGGGGGAGGGATTTGGAGGAACAAACAGGAAGGACACAGAACTAAGGGGGGTGGAAATGGGAGGGAGGTGGGGAGCATGGGGCGGGGGAGGCTGGGATGGGAGAAATAGACAAAAAACTGTACTTGAAAAGTAACTAAATAAAATTTAAAAAAAAAAGAAGTTTCAACCACTGACGATCCCTGCTGGGTTTTTCAGCTAGAAGTTGTGGGGACTTACCTTCCTGGCACTGGAACCTTGGGCTGTGGGGCCTGGTGTGGGGCTGGGACTCCTCACTCCCAAGATATCCCTCCTGAATTTTTATCCACCACACATGGATGTGAGACCATCCTGTTCTGCATTTGCATGCCTCCAGTCAGTCTGGATGGATGTTTTTTTTAATCTGTAGCTGTCAGACTTCCATTCAACTTGATTTCTGACTGTTCTGAGTGATGGTTGTTCTATATTTTAGCTGTAGTTTTTATGTGACTATGTGAAGAGGCATGCTGTGTTTACCTATGCCACCATCTGGACTGGAAATCAAAGCCATAGTTTTAATCCCAATTCTTTAACTCTGGAAGGAAGACTGAAGCCCTATAAAACTGAGGAATTATTTTATATCAAATCCCTAACTCACATTGGGATTACTTAGAATGAAGAAAATGAAAGTTATCTGAGCTCTGGTTTTATCAATTGATAAAAGGTTATCTTGGCCTTTGTGATCTGGTACTTTTATCAAGTTATGTCTAAAATGTTATACTTAGGAGAGTAAAGATATAATTTTACCCAGAGTGAGGAAAATATTAAAATATTCAAAGTCTTCATGACTTGAAAATAAATTTCAGGGTTAAAACATGTTCTCAGTTATATTCTGTCAGAAGTATTATTTTTAGAATATAAAGTTACACAAAATTATTTGTAACTTTAATATTTATTTGTTTTGCCCCACTTATTACAATGTCCAACTTAAAACAATACTAATACAATATTGGCATTGGCCACACTTTAGTAAAATGGTTTTACAGAAATGTAAAGCCTAGTGTTCATATATATCCCCCTTTTGAGCCACATCATTAGCAAAAGTTTACAACTATATAAGCTATTAAAGAAAGCTCAAAAGTACCAAAAGCACACCCCAAAATCAAGTTTTTGAAATTGCAAATTAGCCTTCTCTAGTGCCAAACATATGCTTCAGATTGCCTCAAGAAAACATTTTCTGAAATCACAAATCTAAATCTGGTGTCTATTAACAACAGTTGTTTGAAATAAAAATTATTAACAAAATTATAGTGATAGCAAGTAGAAATGGAGGATGGGAAACCAGAACCTTATGTCTGATTTCCAAGGGTAGAGATTAATTAGGTCATACTCCTACTGGACTTAAGCACATTTTAATGAAATCAAGCAGGAAGATGATCTGATAAAAACTAGACACCCAGGTGTTAGGGGTTTCATGTGGTACTTCTGCATTTTTAAGAGAGAGGGCACTGCTTACCAAAATAAATGAATTTCCTTAAAAGAAGAACTTCAGACACCAGCAGGCTTGCAGATTTTTCAACAGAGGTCCATCCTTCTTGGGGAGGAGAACCTCAAGATACCATAAACGTGGCCATTTATTTTGCCTGTAAATAAGGCAAGCTTTCCATATTTGTGAGAGGGAACGTTTTCCAATTATCAATCAATGGTAGTTGTAAATAGAACTGCATTAAGTCAGTCAGTGTTGACCCAGTAAAGCAAGCTCCTTTCTTCAGATTCTCACTCATTGCTTTATACTCACTGGCCCCAAAACATTTTCATTACAATTGCACAGTTTAATGAAATAGAGATTAACAGGAAAGGGCAGTCAAAAACCCTGTAAAGGTTTATTTTTTAGGACTTCTTTTTTTAAGGGAAGTGCAGAAGAGATGTTTTTGATCCCCTTTTCATATGCAAGGTATAATGTGTAGATTTATACCACATAATAAACACAAACAATTTTAGTAAATCACAGGAATATGAGTAATTAGAAGCATTATAGATGTGATGGAAATAAATTAGATTTTTAAAAATTATCTTTTTCATTTTACCTTCCCTTCTTTTAAGATGCACTGACATATAAATGTGTCTTTCTGCACCTAATGGGGCTTCACTTTGTTTAGAAAGCCCAATAACATTAACATTTGTACTTTAAAAAATCATGGTTTGTCTTTTACTTATAAAGGACCTTCACTCCTAAGATTTCAACACAATTCATAAACAACAAAAATCCTGACACCATACACCTATGCACAGCTCAGAATCAGATACACACACTGGGAGGGAAAAAAAACATTTTTAATGTAAAAGCTAGACTCTGTCATCTTCCTTTTTCACACTCCACCCAGTGAACAAGGACATACTAGTTTCAGACATCTGCATGCTCCCAGCACCAGGGACCCTTCCCATTACAGCCAGGTTGTCAAGAGGAATATTGACAGGAGGAGCGTCAGGCAGCTTTGCCTTGCAACAGAATAACTGAGCTTTAAAATGCTTCTGGAAGGTTTTACTCAGCCAGTAAAGAGCAAAGGGATTTACACAAGAATTGCTGAAAGCCAGAACCCTAGAGAAAATGGTGACAATAAAATGAATGGCAGAGGGGTCCATGTAAGTTTGATAAGTGAATGAACGGTAGAGATACAATAGGTGATTCGGTAACCAGCAGAGAGCAAACAGAGCCACAAGCACCAACACCGTTTTGGCAATTCTCTTCCGGGATTCAATCTATAAGGGGAAATAAAAATGGCAAAAGAAACAAATCATTTAGCTGGCAGAGTCTTTAAAAAAACCATTCTCTAGATTTACATAGAAATGTACAGTCAACAAGCTGGTGTCTTTTTGAACATGCATTTGTGAAATAACTACCGGACACATGTGGGAAGGCAGCCTGCGGCTATAGAATACAGCAAGTTAATTAGCATGGTAATCCATGTTCTTGGTCTCATTAGCTCTACTTTAGAGACTCCCACCCCTGGTTTTGAGGTACTCTAAGATGTCTCCAATTATCTCTCAAGGAGTATTGTGGAATTCTGGAAATTTTACTTTAAAAATAGAGGTATTATACAAGACTGGTTTCATCATATCAGCAGAGGCTGACTAGGTTAGAATATTATTCTGGGGTTTATGAAAGTTGCCAAGTTGGTACCAAAAATTGTTTTTAACCTATAGGAATTCTAACTATAGTCAAAGGAATAAAAACTAATTGTGCTTCCTTCATATGTGAAAATAATCCTATACCTATTAATAAGAGAAATTAGATGAAATGAAGACATTGCCTCTGGTCATAGAGCAAAGATAGCTGCTCACATGGCCATTAAATATGCAACTTTAGCTTTATGACCATTGCTGTTGAACCAACCCAATGGGCCAGGTGCAAAAAAAGGCACTGAGATCTCTAAAATGGTCAAGAGGTAAATGGAATCATCCCTCTCCACTCAAGAAAGATGGAAATCCTGTTGCATTTTTAAAAATCATATGGAACAGTGTTTTGGCAACATTCTTTTTATTCTGTTCACATTTACAGAACAGCACACCTGGCTCTTGCAATTTTTTTTTTAATTTCTTGCAACAGTCTTAAATAAGCTTCTGTGAGTCACTGTATTCTTTTGCCACTACTGGCACTTCATCCCTGGACACCACAGTTTACTCATCTTTGTGGTTTGCATTGAATAATGTTATGGCTTCTTGCCAGTTCTATCATCCTGTGTTTTCCTATCATTATGTTACACATTATAAAATAAAAGATGCTTCACTTTATAGTCTCATGTTGTGCAATGATCCTCACTATTACAGGGATGAATAATTTTGACTGCTCCCAAACTTCAGTTCTCCCTTTTCTAATAATAATAGTTCTATCATTATTGAATGCTTACTATGCTAAGCCTTTCATATATATCATCCAGTCCCCATCTTCATTTTACAGATGAGGAAATTGAGGTGCAGGGAGGCTAACTTGCTCAAGATTGCTCAGCTAGTATGTGGTAGAGCTGGAATTAAATTCTGGGTCTGACAGACTCCACAGCCCATGATCATAACAAAAATACCATATTCCTATTGTATTTATTGTTCACAGGTGCTAAAGTAGGACCTTTCACCTCTAAATTCACTCATGAATCCTGATATGTACATACCTGCTTGCGAGCATGGCTTTGTTCCTCCATGGGCATGTTCAAGGTGCTTCTGTAAAGAGTCTTAGCAATCAAAGAATAATAGACAGAGATAATAGAGAGTGGAATAATGTAGAAGACTAAGAAGCACAGCAGAGAATGTATCTCTTGCAGGAGCCTCTCTGAAACAGGATAAGAAGCACATGATTCAAATGTGGTATTTTTGTTGGCATCTTGAAAAGTATATACATTTGAAAATATAGCCTCTGGTAGAGCAATTATCATTGAAACAATCCAGATGCACCCAGCTTTGGCACAGGTCTTCAGGATGGCATTGGAGGGCTGTCGCTCTAGTGGTTTCACAACTGCCTTGTATCTAGAAATACATAAGCAGAGGCAAAGATTAAATAAATATCAAAATTACAAAATCTTAGGGTTATAAGTGGTCATTCAGTTCTACCTCCTATCCAAATGTATATAACCAAGTCAACATTAACCACTTGGAGTTAGTTATGGTTTTAAATATACATAATCCATCCCAGTTTTTTTTTATTTGTGCTCATCATCTCTTCCCTTATTCACCAGTGTGAGATATTCTAGGTTTGCAAGTTTATAATTTTATGTGTAGATCCTCTGTTTAGGACAAATGATTTTTTTTTCAGCATGATTTTATGTGTGATTGAGAGTAATTCATTGTCTGTGTATTACCTTATATATTCTAAAAGACTTCTTTTTTGTATAAGTGACTGATGTTAAACCTAATTCTCCTTTCTTCCTATAAAGGAATCCCATGAGTTTATGCAGTAGAGAGGATAGGATTAATTTCTTCATTGTTCAAAAGTGGTAACTTGTTGCCCAAGCCATAGGTAGGTAGACTGGGGTCAAGAAGAGGGTGAAATCGGAAGCCCTGTGCCCATGCAAAGATAGATGTGTTTATTCTGACACATCCACCTTAAAATCTATAGCCTTTAAGTAAATCTGCCTTCAAATATAATATAAAACCAGTCAAAGCAAAGATTCAAAAAAGGCACCAAGAAAGCTTTTCCTCATCTCAGATTCCAGAATCTGAAGAAGCTATCCTTCTGGTACTGCCAGGTGTTTATTACAGGCTTCTTGCAGACTTTCCTAAGCATCACTTTTAACATTTAGAGGCTCAATTTTGTTCATGTTTTCAGTTACCATTCTACAAATAGGAACACAGAAAAAGAGTATTTATACTGAAAATATCCTAACAGAGCCCAAACACTCTGACTGCCAGAGGTTCTCACATGCTCTATCCATAGAGCTCTAAAAGTTAAACAAGATTATTTTATCTCTCTGAAAACAAGAATGTCATTGAATGCCTATAGAGAAAACAAGTACAATTAAGTGATGACATTACACTGAGTTACCAGGAAGCCAAAAAGCTCGCCATGTTTCTGCTATTAATTTGATGAATTTCAAATATATTAGATGTATGCTTTTTACTGCTCTCCTGGTATTCAGTAATGCATATGTGGTCAATTTCATACTTAGGCTGGTGTTTTAATATCGACAATATTGCACCACTAGGATGCACTAATGTATAAAGCATGAATTGTTTTTCTTTTACACCTGGAACAATTTGCCGTAATAAACTGGGGGAAAAAACATCGTGCAAATATTCTTTCAAGCAAACAATTACATTTCAAAGAGAATATATTATCCCTAAAACATACAATTTCAATCACTCCTCTAATGCTAACCCAGGAATTTTAACATTCTTATACCAGTGCTCCCCGATATTTAATCTTACATCTCGGTTACAGAGTGTAAGAAAAACAGGATAGGAAGCAGTGAATGCTACCTACTAGCTTTTATTTATTTTCATATCTTGTTCTCTTTTTGCCTCATATCCCATCCTGACAAATGTAATTGAGAAAAGAAACCCACCTGTCAGCGCTGAGAATTGTTAATGTGAACACTGATACACCAACAGAAGTGAGCCGGATGAAAGAGAGCACCTTACATCCAATTCTTCCGAACAGCCATCCTTCTGCAAGGTAGTGGGTTGCATCCACTGGCACACAAGTTAGTAGAAGTAAAAGATCTCCAAAAGCCAGGCTAGTGATGAAAATGTTTGGAACTGTTTGCAAGGATTTGGTCTTGAAAAACACTTTGATGAGAATAGCATTTCCAAGGATGCCCACTGAAATGATCACAGCATACGTTATGTAGATGGCACACAATGCTTCTATTCCTGGAGAGTTGTCTCCGGTCCATCCTTTATTCTTGGTATCATTAGGAATGACAGGGCTGGATGATTCTGTGTCATTTGTGATTAAAATTAAAGTCTGATTAGGTGACTGAGGCTGTCTTTGAGGCATTTCTCTTGAAGACTATTCCTTTAATGTTTCTTCTGTTCAGCTCAGATGTTGTCGATTGTCACGTCTAATGCCCATGTCTAGTGACGAGATGGTAGAGGAACAGAGCAGAATGCAAGCAAATTTAAGACATCCAGATACTCGCCTCCTTCAGTTTTTCTGTGTCTCCCAGCATGCTTGGCTACGTGCTTACGAATCTGGCACTGAAGAGTGGGAGGTGGAAGAGTTTTATTGACGTTTCCATGACTGAAGGAGGGGGGTTTGGGAAATGCTCTGCAGTTGCTTGTTCTTTCCTCTTGGATAATCTTATGAATAAGTAGATAGTATAGAATAATACCCATTGTTTATTAGAATCACTCTGTTTCCCTATCTAACCATGAAGATCTATATATAGATCTTGTCACTTTTGTCCTGGAACTCGTTCATTTTTCTGCAATCAGAAGATGGTCTAATGCACTTTCTTTTACATGGTAAATAAGATGTATGTCCCCTGAAGCACAGACTTGAATCCATTTCTCTAGGATTCATATCAGTGAGGTGCTAAAGCAAAGAGCATTCACATTTTTACAGGGCTGATGTCACCTCTAAGGATGGATAATTCAGGTGACCTGGGCATATCATCTCTCTCTGACACATGGTAATTCCCACCTTCGTGCATATTACTAAGGCTGCACTGCACAACAGCAAAGCAACCTTTAAGAGATGAAAAAATGCAGGCAAATCACCAGTTGCTTTGTCTCTAAATGTCCTAATAAAACAATTTTTACTGTTTGTCTGTTTTAATGCTATATATTTTTAAATTCAGTTTAGGGCTTCTCTCTTAAGAAATGGTTGATTACAGTGGCTTTGTAATACAGTTTGATATCAGGTATTGTGATCCCTCCTACTTTGTTCTTCTTTCTCAAAAGAGCAGTTGCTATTCGGGCTCGTTTATGGCTCCATATAAATTTTTGAAGTGTTTGTTCTATGTCTGTGAAATATGCCATTGGTACTTTAATAGGTATTGCATTGAATCTGTAATACCCTTTGCAACAACATGGATGGAACTGGAAAGCATTATGCTGAGTGAAATAGGCCAGGCATTGAAGGACAAATACCATATGATCTCACCTTTAACAGGAAGCTAAATAACAAAATAAACAAGCAAATAGAATAAAAACAAAGACACTAAAATAGAGAACAAGTGGGCAGCGACCAGAGGGGAGAGGGAAGGGAATTTAAGGGGAAAAATGGGGAGGGATTTTGAAGAACAAGTATGAAAGACACAGGGATGAGGTCTGTGGGTGGGGGGGAATGGGAGGGAGGTGGGGAGACGGGGCAAAGGGGGGGCTGGGATGGGAGAAATTGACAAAAGAAAACTGTACTTGAAAAATAACTAAATAAATTGTAAAAAAAGATTGAGGAAAAAAAAAGAAATGGTTGAAATGAACCCACCTTGTTACAAAACAAAATAACACAGAACACAGCTCAAGGTTCTGACACAAAAAGACTTGTAAATATTAAAATTGTTCTCTTCAAGTGAGAGAATGCCATAGGTTGCTCCAGAGATGATGGGCATGTAGATATCAACAGAAGGAAGCAAAAAATCACAACTTACTTTAGCACCAGCCAGAAAAGCCCCTTGTTACAGAAAATACAAGTATGTGGTTTATGTGTCTGTGTGAGGTGGGAGGTTGATTAGGAGTTGGAAGCCTGCATTTTGAAGGCATTTAATAATAAAACCTGCTAAGAAATATTTTCTGAAATGATCAATTTTAAAGGATAACCTCTCAGCTATGAGAAACGTTTTGTAGTGAGGTGTTTATAAACATATACATATAAGAATTAGCCTGGGAAGTGAAATGAAAACCAGCAAAGTATTTGGCTAGCCAATGAACAGTAGTGGCAAATATAGATTGCTCTTGATACTGACACAATAGATGTAATAAGTTCTACAGGAAAGTGAATTGGGTTAATTGAATCAATTATCTGGTTAATTTGAGCTTCTTAAACCACACCTATTCTCTACCCTATCTCCAGAGCTTGAATTACTCAACTAAATAACTGTTTTGATGGGAATAGGGAAGGGAGATGTATAGGTAAACACAAGTCTCTTAGCTTTTATTATATACACTTAAGTAATTTCTGCACTGGACTAGATCTTTTAAGATTTTTTTTTTATCAAAAATGGCTTTATATGGTTTATATATTATTCTCACAAAGCTTATAATAAAATCTTTGGGATTCTACATATAGTTTAGGAAAGAATAAATGGTATTTCTCAATTCACACCTCAACTGATGGCCACACAGCAAGAAACAAATCCTGCCTGTGATTTCCAAAATCATCTGGATTCCAAAGTTCTCAGGCATGCTTTTCATTAGGCTGCAGCTATCAGTATGCCTTTTATCATTTTTCTTCCTTCTGGTCAGGAGAAGTCAGGAGAGAGCAGTGATTTGGGGGTGGTCCTGGAGCAGTGGTGGCCTTATCTCTAGAAATCTAGAATCCCAGAATATCAGAGATAAATGACTTTAGAGATGATAAAATCAAATCCTCTCTTTTTCAGAGGCAGAAATGAGGTTAAGAGGGGGGAAGTTATCTCATGTAAGGTCACAGAAGTACTCTGTGGCTGAGATGAAATAAGATGTCTCTCAATTCCAAGAAGTTAAAAATCAGTGACAAGAGTTGAAAAAGAGCTCCTGACAACAAGCAATATTTGCTCATTTGACATTGCGGAATTAGTGCTTCTGCATGTTTTATTAACCTAAGAATAAGAGATTTCCAGGCTAACAAGCAAATCATAATAGATTACTTAAATGCATCTGCTTTACTTTTCAATTTACAAAAGCTTTTATTATTATATATTTTGTCACCATTTGCTAGTACTAAAGTATCTGGTGGTTTTAATTATTTTAATTTAATATTATTAATATTTTATTATATCTTGATATTGATGTTATTAGTAACATTTGATTGTTAATAAGAATAGCCAATATCTCCTTCTTTTACCTTGTAATTAACCACAAAATATCACCATGTATTTTGTAGGTAAAGCTGTAGGGCACTTAGATTATACTAAATGATGAAATTCTTTCGTTTGTTTTTAGTGCACTAAAAACAAGATTTTCAAAACCAACTACTTAGCTATAGATTAAACAATTGTAATATAATCTTTTTAAAATTTTATTATATTTTATTGATTATGCTATTATAGTTATCACAAATGTTCCCCCTTTGTCCCCCTTTACCTGACCCCCCACTCACTCAGGAAATCCCCAAACTGTTGTCTATGTCCATGGATCCTGCATATAAGTTCTTTGGATACTCTATTCCCTATGCTGTACTTTACATCCCCATGACTATTCTGTAGTGACCTATTGTATTTCTTAATCCTTTCATCTTTACACCCATCTCCCTGACCCCCCTCCCATCTGGCAAGCAACAAAACCTTCTCTATATCTATGATTCTGTTTTTGTTCTGTTTATTTATTTTGTTGTTAGATTCAGTTGTTGATAGATATGTATTTATTGCCATTTTATTATTAATATTTTTTATCTTCCACTTCTTCTTCAAGAAGACTCTTTAACATTTCATGTAAAACTGGTTTGGTGATGATGAACCCCTTTAGGTTTTTCTTGTCTAGAAAGCACTTTAACTGCCCATCAATTCTAAATGATAGCTCTGATGGGTAGAATAATCTTGGTTGTAAGTCCTTGCTTTTCAACACTTTGAATATTTCTTGCCAATCTCTTCTAGCCTGCAAAGTTTCTCTTGAGAAATCAGCTGATGGTCTTACAGGAACTCCCTGTAGGTAAGTAACTGCTTTTCTCTTGTTGCTTTTAAGATTTTCTCCTTATCTTTAACCTTTGGAACTTTTATTATGCTGTGTCTTAGAGTGGGCCACTTTGCATCTATTTTGCATGGGATGCTCTGTGCTTCCTGGACTTGCATATCTATTTTCTTCATCAAATTAGGGAAGTTTTCTTTCATTATTTCTTTCAAATAGATTTCTGATGTCTTGCTCTTCCTCTTATTCTTCTGACACCCCTGTGATGCCAATATTGGAATCCTTGAAGTTGTCCCAGAGGCTGCTTATACTATCCTCATTTTTTTGGATTATTTTTTTGTGTGTGGTCCTGATCGGTTGTTATTTGTTTCCTTATGTTCCAAATCATTGATTTGATTCATGGCTTCATCCACTCTGCTGTTGTTTCCCTGTAAATTTTTTTTTAATTTCAATTAGTATATCCTTTGTTTCTGGCTGGATTTTTTTTTTGTTGAGGTCCTCACTAAGTTCCTAGAGTATCCTTATAACCAGTGTTTTGAACTCTGCCTCTGATAGATTGCTTTCCTCCGTTTTGTTTAGCTCTTTTTCTGGAGTTTTGTTCTGTTCTTTCATTTAGGCCATGTTTCTTTATCTCTTCCTTTTGGCAGCTTCCCTGTATTTGTTTCTGTGTATTAGGTAGAGCTGCTATGTCTCCCTGGCTTGGTAGCATGGCCTAATACAGTAGGTATCCAGTAGGGTCTAGTGGTGCAGTATCTGCTATTACCAAAGCTGGGTACTCAAGGTGCACCTACTGTGTGGGCTGTTTATACCCTCCTTTTGTAGTTGAGCCTTGGTTGCTTTTGGCATGTCCAAATCATCCACTGACTGTGTTCTATCTGGGGTCAAACATCACTAGCTGCAAAGTTATTTGCAGATGGTTGCTACTTGTGCTGGGCTTGGAGGTGCCCAGGAGTGGCCAGGCAGTGAAACAAGGCTAGCTTCTGCTTGTCCTGAGCCTGGGGAAATTAGGGAGAGGTACAAGGTTTTGCTGAAGCCAGATACTGATTGTTTGAGAGAATTTAGAAGAATCTGAAGCATGAGCCAAGACAAGACATTTGTCTAGAAAAGCTACTGGAAACAACTTAGGTGGGCCTGGAGTTGAATGGGTCAGGGCCTCAGGGAATCACCAGGGTGGGGCAAACAGTGTGATCCAGGTTGCTGGAGTCTAAGATATGGTGCCCCCCTTCTAACTCTGTG